GCTCGTACCATCAATGAGGGGCTCAAACGTCGGCGTTGGGGCGCATACCGGGGACCACTGGCCGGAGGGTAGGTCGCATCGTGTCGTCTATAGATGAGTATTTCCTTCTCGTTAGATCCACCCCCTGACAATTTCTGGAGGCCAGTGAGTCGCGCTGAAGTACACCAGTTGTGCACTCGGTGCGGCAATAGGCCACGGCCGACTGGCAGTTCAAACCCATCTATGGGTCTCTGCTCGAGGTATCACTGTATTGGTTATTATTGTTGATATTATTGATAACATACCAGAACAATGATAACAACAATAACAATAGCCAATAACTTATCGGTTATTGTTTTCATCGATATCACATTTGATTGTTGTCGGGATGCTACATCAAATGTGCAGGTGTATCTCCATTGAGCGGAATACAGCCAGCGATAGAAGGCTGTCGTGTCCGAGGTATGGAGAGGAGGAAGCGGCGGTCTTGGAGGCCAGCAAGAGGTTGACACATATGAAGTAGAGAAGCTCGATGCTGCATCTCGAGAAGAAAATGACTGTACCTCAGAAAGGCTATGGCTAAGGCTCAGAAGTCGTCCATAGAGAGGCTCAGCAAGCCGAAGTTTCGCCTCAAGACGCCGCCACTCTTCCCGATACGGCAATTCCGGGCTAAGCCAGGTATGTAACGCCTCTCGGTGGGGTTGTCCGAGTCGGTCCTTAGTCCCATGGTCTTCGCGCAGAGGGTCATCGAGGAGGCCCAAGTCCGCTATTGTTAGTAGTGGACGAAAGGCAATTGAAGATGCTGATGGACGAGGGAAAATGGTGGAAAATGAAGCCATTAGGGGAGAAGTTGTGCCGGCAAGCGACAGTGGTCGGCTCGCTGATGTGGCTCATGTGTATGTGGAAGCTATGGTGATGAAAGCGGCAGCCTCAACTGAGTTGCAGCCGGCCGCTGGTCCCGAACCGCTAGTAGTGGAGTGGTCACATCTTGAGCAGGATGGACCACACAACGAATTGGACAGGGGAGGAGTTAGTCCAGCCAGCGAGGCGGCCATCGTGGAGGCTACATTAGTCGATATATCGGATTATTCGGACGTTGTGGTGACGGTCAATAAGGCGCCAGTGGTTGACCTAGACCTCGTGCCTGACTCTAGGCCAGCTCCTCAGCTGCTCGACAAGGGCGATGTTAAGGCAATACCGGCTGATGGGGATCGCTCGCCACAGGTATCCTCGCGTTCAGCTGTTCTTGAAGGAGATGACAAGTGTGATGATGATGTAGGCGTATATGATCCTAGGAAATACTCGGATGAGATTGAGCAAAGCGACTGGCTAGTTGAGCGGACTGCTCCCCCTGTCACTTTGGAGGGCAGCCAGAGAGATCCTCTTGGAGCGTTGTTTGGTAACTACTCTATTAGAAGGGAGAGCACAGAGGCAGAGGTGACCGATCTAGAGCAGCTGTTCGCGGCAGTGGACCTCAATAGCTTGTAGTGGAAATTAGCATGACTGATAGTCATTGACCCTTATCTAAGTGCCTAGCTGTTGAGTTAGTATCCTCGAGGTCAATTGATGAGTAACTGCGGTTGGTGTCATCAGTGAGCTATTCATCCTCCTCGTACTAACAGCATGCACTATGCATTCCAGGGCCTCTCGGTGCGCCTCTATAGACCGGGCGAGGCTTCATCGGCTAGAGGCAATAATTTGTTCAGTGGATTTCTCAGTCTCAGGGTATGTTGGTATACCGGAGGTGTTCGATCAGCATTGTGCCCTGTATACCTTGCATAGTTGATGGGCACCATCACATGGTGCGATGCCAGCTGCAGTAGTCGGAGTCACAAGAGGCCTCGAGGGACTCCCAGCTCGCACCGGCAGCAGGTCAGCTCGCCACTAATTCGTTATCGAACTTACGTTTAATCGACTAGAAATATCGTCGCTCCTTATTGGAGGAGGAAAGTGTGTCGTCTCATTCTTGCCTCGGGCTACATTTTTGCAACAGGTGCTCCAGAGGGAAAGTCTGCCATGCATCGGCTTCTGCCTAATGTGTGATACCCTCGTATCTCTCCACGATGATGACTAGTAAGTTTGCTAGAAGCTGCACAGTCTGTGCCCATCTAGCTCACACGTTGCTGTCTTAGTCATCATGATCAACTCAGATCGTGGGTTCCATCCACAGATTTTCATCACTAATTAACAACTTTTCT